TTGTTTTATTTCGGCTAGAATAAAAGCAGTTATTAATTTTTTTAAAAACATTTTTGGGACAAAATTATTAGCCCCTTTAAGCAAATTTTTTTTTCGATAATCTACAGAACAAACCATTGATATAGAATAACTTGCCTAATTACCCTAACCTGCCTAGTTAACCTTATTAACCTAGTTAAGCCTTTAAATGTCGCTTTAAGCTGTATAGAAGTGTCTTGAAAAATATTTAGTCCAATATTATTTACTGTCATCATGGCAAAGATAAAACAAATCAGTTATTAGAAATAGGTTACTAAAACTATTATGCTTAGAAATTTGCTGAAACAATCTTCCCTCCATTAAACAGAAATTGGTAAAAAAAAAATAAACAGGGGCGCTAATAATTCTGACTTTATCTGTGTGCGTGTGCATATATATATATATATATATATATATATATATATATATATATATATATATATATATATATATATATATATATATATATATATATATAGAGAGAGAGAGAGAGAGAGAGAGAGAGAGAGAGAGAGAGAGAGAGAGATTTACATGCCTTTATCAATTGCACAATACACCAGTAAGTGTAATAGCACAGTTTTGCTTAAAATATTGCAATGCACACAATATGGGTGACATTTCAAAAGTTCAAAAGAGTTCAAAAGAGGACAAATTGTTGGTCCTTATCTAGCTGGCACATCTGTGACAAGACAGCAATGCCTTTTTTAAATATTTTTTTAAGTATGATGGTAAAACACGAATGCTGTTATGAATGTATTAAATCATATGCTTGTTTGTAGTAAAATTCCTACTGACTCGTGGGTAAAATCTCCTGACTCATGGGTGAAGCCATGTTGCTATTGTAGCTGGTAAAATTTCCATACCCCTTGGTTTCAAGCATGGCCCTGGAAAATCTCTGTTTTAAGGAGCAGGCTGTCTAAAAGGGATGTCCGGATGCTAACCCAGATTGTATTTAAAAAACATAAAACTACAGCTAACCAACTCACTGCAAAATTAAATGTGCAGCTCAACTCCATCAAAACGGTTCAAAACCTTTGATTACAGTTAAAACTTTAATAAACCATTTACGATGTTAATTTTCTTTGCATTATACATAAATTTTAATGTATGTGATCCACTGATTTTCCAATAAGTATGTGTCTTCCTACAAAATCTCTTATGACCTTACAATTACTCAAGCACTCATTGCATTTCCAAGATTTTCACGTGCTATAATGGCCTGTTTCCACAGAGTGGTACAGTACGGTACGGTGCGGGTTACCTTTATCAAGATTTCAACGTTTGCAATTATTTAAAATAAATAAATAAATGCAGCATATATGAACACATACAGACCCTTAGCATCTCTAATATGTTACTAATTACAGAAAAACTACACACAACATACATTTAGTCCTTATTTGGGTTCTAAAACAACACGAAACATAACCCAGTCAGTGCAAACCTCTCATATGTGTATCTTCAGCAGCACATGTAGCCTCTTGTTAGAAAGTAATTTTGTCATTCCGAGTTCATAAAAGTCCAAATGGCGAAGATAATAGTTAAACACGACAGTTTGTTCATGTTTTCGGTTGCAGAAGCATCATTTGCTTCATTCGTTTTTTACTGGCTCCTCCTTTGTTTTTCGAGCTTCACTCACGCATTTGTCTCTTTTCTGAAAGGATCAGATGTCAGAGCACTTCAATGATCATGAGCACATTATATGAGCTCAAAAAGTTTGTTATTTCAGACACGCAGATAGCGCAAGCGAGAAAGTGAAACTGCTAGCACTATTTTTTTAGACGAGCTCGTAAAACAACAACAGGACACCGCAGATTTGCGGCTGTACATCAATACGATTACATGGTTTGTTTGAGCTCGGGTCGACTATAGTTTGTTATTATATGTATATTATATGTATATATATATATATTTTTTTTGTTTCAATATTTTTTATTGAGTTTCAGTTTTTCAAATATGAAAGAACAACAATACAAACCCCAAACCCATACCAATCCAACAGCGGGATAGCGCTCACATTAGCCAAAAATTAGCAAATATACAATTGTACATGTAGGTTTAAATACAAATACAAAGAAATAATTATTATTATAACCATAATAACAATAAATAAATAAATAAATAAATAATAAATAAATAAAAAAAAAACACACAAGAAAAATTAATAAAAACATAAAAAAATATATAAAAAATAAAATAAAATAAATTTAAAATAAGGAAAAAGCATTTATTCAGCTAACATATAACCATACAGACCATATGTATAGAAAAATCAAATTATTTGAGATTTTCCACAAAATCAATAAAAGGTTGCCACACCTTAAAAAATTTTCCCTCCGACCCTCTTAATGAAAACCTGATTTTTTCTAAATGAAGACAAGACATAATTTCTCTAATCCACTGAGCATGAGTGGGAGGATGAGAATCCTTCCATTTTAGCAAAATAGCCCTACGTGCCAATAAAGTCGAAAATGAAATGATTTTACATTTTGAAGAAGGCAACTGTATATCCTCTGAAGTAACCCCAAACAGTGCCACCTGTGGATCTGGATCCAGCTTGTGCTGAAGAATCACATATGTATATATTATTACGTGTAATGTCTTGGTTGTGTTTTTTAAAATGGCGTTTCCTTTGTTTTCATTCTCCTGCTTCTGCAAGTGACATATCTCTGTAAACCAATAGTGGTCAGCTGCTCGTCTAGCTCCGGCTTATGGTATCAATTGGGCCTGTTAGTACCCTTTGCAAAGGGTGACCATAAAGTGGTACAGTACTGTTTGCTTTTAGGTACCCTTTGACAGTGGAAACACCCATAAAAACGTAATGAACCGAACCGTACCGTACCACTCAGTAGAAATGGGCCATACATTTTTTTATTTTACAGTAATCATCAAATTAGTTGTGAAATCATTTTAACAAAATTTTGTTGTTATAATACACAGCCAAGATCAGAACATTTACCAGAAAGATCCACATTTACTGAATCAAATATATATATATATATAAACAGTTATTTACAGTACACTGCAATTCACACTACATTTCTGTTATGTTGAGTTTTAAAAAATATTCTGGAGTTTTGCTTTACTAGTGCTTTTGTGACTTTTTCTCTTGCTTTGTGCTTAAATGATTGATCTGTTTTGGAGGAATTTGTTGAATGAATGAACTTGTGACAGAGGGCAACAGGACTTTTAAGTAGAATTTTAAAATTGTTCCTCATACATGCTTTCATGGCATGGACCATCTGTGTAAATACAACTTAAGGTCATATCAGACACAGCTTTTATAGGACTTGCATTAAAATAAATTGCCTTAATAGGTGTCAAATATTTAAGTTCTGTCATTGCTAATGTTAAGAACAATATATCTATTTTATACATGGCTTCCCTGAATTTCACAAAGTATTCTCCTATAAATGTAGGTCCTTTATGTGTTAAGTTATGACAAATAGATAACTTCAAAGATTTATTCAATAAACTGCTCTTTGTGGAACCCTACACTTTGTCTACTTTATGGCATCACAGTATTAACAATAAAAATGAAAGCATAATTTTAAAGAGTGTATTCTCTATTTGTGTGATAAAGAAATTGACACTCAATATTTTATTATTTTTATTATTGTTAATATTAATAATAATAATGTTGTACTCAAAACATTATTTCCCAATGGTGATATTAAAGTTCATTCATTCATTTATTTTCTTTTCGGCTTAGTCCCTTTATTAATCTGGGATCGTCACAGCGAAATGAACCACAGTGGATGCCCTTCCAGCTGCAACCCATCACATGGAAACATCTATCAAACACACTCATTCACACAATTGCTTACCTAATTCACCTATACAACATCTTTGGACTAGTGGAGGAAACCAGAGCACTTGGAGGAAACCCACACCAACACGGGGAGAACATGCAAACTCCACACAGAAATGCCAACTGACCCAGCCAGGGCTCGAACCAGCGACCTTCTTGCTGTAAGGCGATCATGCACCACAGTGACGCCCAATATTAAAGTTTCAAATAACTGAATAATATGTGTTTGACTTTTTAATAACTTACTAAATCTTTAAAATTTGGAAATTATTCATGCTGTTTTCCTGACACTTATTAGTTCCTCTACAGTGCTGGGGTTATTATTCTCTGTTGCCAAGGGAACTTGCTTTTTAAATCAAAGTGATTTCGAGTGAGAAATACCGACAGTCTGTGCCCACAAAACACTTCTGTCACTGAACGTTCATCCTCTTATTGTAACACTTTCACTTGCAAATCAGACTGGACAAGCATGGGTGCCATAAAAGAACTGTTATAATTTCAAATGGATTAAATCACAAAAACATCACAGTGAAAATACAAATCAACATGCCATCTACTAAGCAAGCATACCAGTAAAGCCAACCATAACGACTGAGGGAAAAAAGTCTAAATATTCCACATTTCTGCTAAGAAAAAAAAAACAATTCATCCAAACATTTGAAATTCTCTTCCACATTCCCTTTGTTACCTTTCTACTCTATGTAACTCCATATTCCATTGAAAACACAACTCATTGTGTTATGCTACTCTTAATTCAACTGTCCCTGTTCTTATTTTTTCATCATGCTGTTTCTGTCACTGTATGCCTTATTTTAATTTTGATTTGAGCAAATATAGTATAATAATTTGTGATATATATTATATTAAGCTATTTGAAACCAATACGTTTTATTTGAAGTCCACAATAAGGCGTGGTTTTATTGGTTGTGCATAAATGAAACAGTACATCATTACAGTACAGATTATGAAATAACAGAAAAGCATTATAACAGAATTCCTTTGTAGATATAATGTTTGAAATCTATAATAGTCAATCTCTATCAAGTGACTGCAGTTTATTATTGATGGCTAGAAATGATAAAACATTAAAAAGGTCCACCAACTGATAACTCCATCTTTTTTCAGTCAGTGATTTGAAGCAGTACTGGGGTAAAAAGTGTAAAGTACTCACATGCATGAGTGACAGAGAAGCTGTTGGAGGACTCCAGGTTATCTACGTTGTAATTGAGATGGAAGGGTTTCTCAGTCATGTTCTGATTGGTGTTGTAGAGCTGCACAGCGAATCTGAATGCGCTGTGTTCTTGAACGGTGGAACGCATGAAGAGTCCACCTTTATCAAGAGCAAACAACACGAATCAAAGATGATGCACATATTTAATACATATGAAAATTAAAATCTGACTTAATTCAGCAGTCGCGTCAAATTCTTTTAAGCACATTCATGGACGTGTTCCAACAGTCATACGTGACCATTTTGGTTGACGCTTTAATTTATATGTATATAACTTTCTCTTAAGTTTATTAAAAGCAAATGATTGCGGACATGCATGCAGAGTAATGGAATCCTAATCGTAAGCGTTTTATAATTTGTACCAATTCTTTTATGATTTGCAATGGATTCTTAGATCGCATTTTGTCTACTTAGCATGCGATGCAGCGTCTTCCTATAACGTTACCTACGTTAATATGCGAACAGTCAGACATCGACATGCAAAGCCTAGTGATAAAAAGTCAAATATATCCAGGCGGACTCACCGATATTTATCTGATTGGGGAAGCCAGCGAGAGACGTGCCGAAAAGCCATAATAAAAAAATCAACGCGCTTTGAGTCATTTTTTTCAGCTTCTCTCAAAATCAAGGCTTATCAAACGAAGTCTTTGTGGAGAATCAAAAACGCAGAAATCCAACCGTGAGTAAAGCGCTGCGACTCATGGAGAACAATTCTTCTGCATGTGCGGAGAGAGAGAGAGACAGTCTGAAAGATGCAGAGAGAGGGAGAGAGAGTGGGGGTGTGGGACTGGTGCTGAAGATGGTCGAAGCGACGGAGAGCATCGCATTCAGAGGGAGAGCGAGCCGCTCCTCCAATTGGACCAGCAAGGCGATATTGATCAATCTGACTGACGTTAAAGAACGAGATTAGGTAATACTTTACATTAGGTATTAATATTCAATGCATGCATTATAGAAGATATAGATATATAAAATATATTTCTAAATATATTTTAGGGTAAAGAAAATACATTTCGGGGCAGTACTGTGGTGCAATGGGTGGCAGAATAGCCTCACAGCGAGAAGGTTGCTGGTTTGAGCTCCGACTGGGTCGGTTGGCATTTCTGTGTTTACATGTTCTCCCATGTTGATGTGGGTGTCCTGCGGCTGCGGGGTGCTCCGGTTTTTCCCACAAGTCCAAAAACATGTGGTATAATTGAATTTTATATGAAAATATATTTGCAATCTTTTATTAGAATGTGATCAAAGTATTTATTATTATTAAAATGGGTTTAAATATGTATGCAATCAATATAATAATAATAATAATCATCATCATAATTTTAATAATTAAATTGCATTACCTAATTCTTGCTTATCATTTTGCTGTTTTGCTAGTATTCATGCTTTTTACTATTACATGCATATCGGCAGGACTGGACTGGGGCAAAAAATCGGCCCTGGCATTATCTATCTATGCACGTCCAATATTTTTATCAACTCATATTCTATAAAACACAAAAGCCATATATATTAAATAAATAAATAAATACAAACTTTAATCTCAATTTAATTTCTGTATACTGTCCATAAAGATATTTGTTGAGTTCTAAAAAATACACTATATATTCATTTATTTGTCTTCGCATAAGTCCTTTATTTATCAGGGGTTGCCGCAGTGGAATGAACTGCCAACTATTCCAGCATGTTTTATGCAGCAGATGCCTTTCCAGCCACAACCCAATATTGGAAATCACCCATACACATTCATTCACACACACTCATACACTACAGCCAAGTTAGCTTATTCAATACACTATTCACTCAGCCTATAGTTCAATAATAAACATAACCAAAACTGCCTGCTAATGCATGGGTAAATCTTCAGAGGGAACAGTGTTACATTTTAACCTCTTTCACCTCATCCTGCTTGCTGTTTCTCTATTTAAACAATGAAAACATAATATAAGTCAAATTTGTTTCATTTTGATTAACAGACACCAAACAGCCTTGTGTAGCTATATATTTATATGAGCGTCTGCATATTTATAACAAAACAGGGCTTAAATATAACTGTCTCCTTTAATTTCCATTGAAAAGAACAAACTTTACCCTGTCTCTTTTGCAGAATATCAGTTTTAATAACCAATAATGGCCATTATAACAGTATAACGTACATTAAATTTAAACGATAAAGGTAAGCAATCAGTCAATGTGCAAAATCAGTGTATGTGGTTACATAAATTAATATATTAGCTTATCTTTGCACTCAGCCAAAACAGTTAACTGAGAACAAGTGATTCAAAAGACATAAGAATTGTTAGCTAGAGAAAACAAGATGAATTCAATATCACGTTTAAAAACTATAGTGAGATGAGATCATCCAGCAGATGAACTGTCTGACATGCACTGTACTCTCACCTGGGGTTTATGTTTACCCGCTGAACTACTGGCTGCAACTCTTGGCAGAGAGTGTGCATGTGTGTGGTCACGTGATTTGCGTTTTTAGCCTTGTACTAGAATGAACGGAGAACTTTTCAGAACTGCTAAATGAAACGCCGGTGTATTTCCCGCGATTTCTCTGCGCCTCCCTTGCGCTTCTTCTCTCTGACTCTCGACTATTTTGACAAATACACACAGACGATGCACGCTCACACGCAGTCTAAAATAGGAGTTTGTAATTGGGCCAGCCCAATGTCAATACCGAAAAGAGCCAATGGGCTGCAGAGTGTCACATAGGCCGGCCCGGTCTGTCTGTCCAGGAAAAAAAGCATCTACTTTCAGAGAGTCACAAAGATCACAGCAGCGTCAAATAATAAGGCAGAAAAAAAAAACGATAGGCTGCTAAGCCTTTTATGGGCCGATCAGATCATAAGACGATAATCAGCCCGGCCCAAAAAGTTCGTCGGCCCACCAGGAAAGTGCCCGGTCTGCCAGATAGCTAGTCCGCCCCTGCATATCGGGCGACGCGGTGGCTCAGTGGGGAGCTCTCTCGCCTCACAGCAAGAAGGTTGCTGGTTCGAGCCTCAGCTAGGTCAGTTGGCCATTCTGTGTGGAGTTTGCATGTTCTCCCCGCGTTCGAGTGGGTGTCCTCTGGGTGCTCTCCTGTTTCCCCCATAAGTCCAAAAACATGAAGTACAGATGAAGTAGGTAAGATAAATTGTCAGTAGTGTATGTGTGTGAATGAGTGTGTAAATGTATGGGTGTTTCCCAGTGATGGGTTGTTTTCACCACAGTGTCAGCAGACGTCATCTTGCCTATTATTAAAAAGTTTGGCGTTATTTGGATGAAAACCACAGGAGAAACTATTTTTGCATTATAACAATGTTTTTATTGTATTCATTTTTTATCTGTGAAAGTATGTATGTAAAATCTTATATTGTTGTGATTACCGTCTTGAAGGCTATAAGATGAAACCATTTTGAAAGATGTAAAAAACACTGACTGCTAGCCAGTTTTGAAGAAAACACAACATAGCAGGGTTAGTTGTAACAGGGTGTTACAATTGAGCCACACACTTTTTTATACCAATTAAACTAACAAAGTAATTTTTCAACTTTGAGTGTTATGTTACATTTTTTATATAAAATATTTTTGATGGAAAATAGTTTTTAACAGAAAAAAATTTTCATTGCTAATAATGCAAATAAATGCATTGTATAATAATGGATAATATAGCAAATAAAGACAAATGTGATTATCCAATAGATGGATCAATTGATAAATAAACATATTGTGTTATGTAGAATAAAAATAAATTGAGCTAATTGGGCAATCCAAAGTCGTTGTCTAAACAGGCAAATAGGCTAGGCAGCTAGAAGACACGGAAAACAGGGCAAGGATCAGTATACGGATAGTCTAGACTGGATAAATGCTTTTAAATGTTAACAGTGATAAACACCAACAAGACTTTGCAAAGTCTGTGTGAGTGTTAGCGTGTCCGTGTGTGTGTGTGAGCTACAGCACATATTCCAATTTTGTTTATTGCAACACATTTAAAAAAAAAAAGTTGGAACAGTAAATAGTTTACCACTTTGTAATTTTGTCATTCCTTATTACAACACATAAAGGATGTTTAACGACACCAAGTGATGAAGTGTTTCAGGTGTAATTTTGGCCAATACGGGGTCTTTGTTGTCAATTGTTGTTTTGCGTTTTAAAATGCACGACACATTCTCTTTTGGAGACAGTTCAGGACTGCAGACAGGCCAGTTAAATACATGTATACTCTTCCTCCGCAGCCAGGACTTTTAATGTGTGTAGATTTTAGTTTTGAATTGTCTTGTTGAATATGTGTATGGGCATTCCTGAAAAAAATCCCAGCATATTGTGCTCCAAAATCTCTATGTGCTTTTCAGAAATTATGGTGCCATAAAAGAAGTGCAAGTTATCTATGATCCCTTTTTCTCTTTGGTTCGTTGCAGACGCCATCCATTTCATCCAAAAATACAAGAAATACTGATTCATCTGACCACCACAGTACACTTTTCCACTGTATGATGGCGTTTTCCAGAGACCTCCGAGCCCAGGGAAGTCGATGGTGCTTCTGGACACAGTTAACATAGGGCTTCCTTTTGGCATAGTACAGTATTAACTGGGATTTGTGGATGTAACTACATATTGTGGTAGTTGCAAAAGTAGTTCAGAGCCCATCTGTTAATAATGCTTAAATTATTGCTGATATTTGATATTGCTTAAATTTTTACATATTCCTTGAATCTTATAATTATATTATTGTGGCAGTTCATGCATAGAATACTTAGCATTGTCCTGGGAAGCATACATTTCCAGCACCTGGAGCAATCATGCTGATCGCCAGCAGCTTTAAACATTTCAATCAATTTCTCACATATTGGTTGACAAACTGGCGATCCTTTGTCCATCATTGCTCCTAAAGGATAAGAGCTTTTCTGAATGCTGCTTTTGTACCAAATTATAAATTACAATCACCTGTTGACATCACCTGTTTCAGATCACATAATTAATTAATCAATTTCTGTGATTACTAGTCTTACATTGCTCCTGTGCCAACTTTTTTGGAATGCACTGCAGGTCTGAATGACAGGAAAGGACGTACATTTATGAAGGAAATTAAGTTGACCAGACAAAACATGAAATATATAGTGCTCATTTTGTCTGCAAGGAAATACAAGTCAAAATAAATTTGGAAATCACTACTTTTTTTTTTGCATTATCCATACTGTCCCAAATTTTTTCTGATTTGGGATTGTCAGTTAATTAGTAAAGCATCCAAAATAAGCAAAACCATGACACTCACCCGTCAAGATATTTCATGACTATTTATAATAGAGAAAACCAGTCTTTCCGTCAGAACAAGGCCAATAAATCACACAGGGCAGGGAACACTGGAGCAGTAGAGCACTAATCATTTCAAAGAATCACCCATATGACATCTAACAAAGCCAGGTCTGTGTAAATGTACACACATACCTGTGCGTGGCTTGCATAAAGTTCTCTATACAGCTTCACTCAGACACATTTATTATACACAGTATAAACAAATTCAATATCTACCCTAGTTTACCACAAATATCAGAATTATAGGTTAATACTAAGAAAAAATATACTTAGCAGCAGTTAAAAGCAACCATTGCTTACCTGCAGACACTGCCAACCAGAGACCAAAAACAAGAAAGTGACGTATGACACTGATAGCCCTATCATACCCCAAGTGCAAGGCGTGCATGGTGAGATTTGTTGCAATTTTTAGACAAGCAGATCAGTAATTTTCAGGTAATTTTTCTCGCTGTGAAAGGGGTGGGATTAAACAAGATTATTAGACAAAAAAGCTAGCGATTGCTTTATGA